GATGTAGAGGACTTAATTTTTCTTCTCAGATGCGTATTAGAAAACAATTTCTTTGAATTTAACGGAAAATTCTACAAACAAATCATAGGCTGCAGCATGGGCGCAGTACCATCCCCGGAAATCTCAGACATGAGAATGTACGAAATTACGCAGTTTATTGAATCTAAATTTCAACATGTGAACAAAATTCTGTTTCATGGCAGATTTAGGGATGATGGATTCATAATTTTTAACGGAACAAAGGAAGAAATTCTAGAATTTTTTGACATCAGCAACAGCTGTCATAAACATCTTAAATTCGCATTTGAAATAGCTCACTCATCCGTAAATTTCCTGGACACAACGGTTTACAAAGGCAATCGATTTAATCATTGCCAGAAACTTGATATCAAATCTTTCATAAAACCAACTAATAATTTTCAATACCTTCATAGAAACAGTGCACACAACGCCTCTGTATTTAAAGGTTTTATCAAAGGAGAATGTATAAGACATTCCAGAAATACTAACGACCCTTCAGTTCTTAAAAACAATTCTACAGGATTTCAAGGGACATCTTTCAAAGAGAGGCTATTCTGAGGAAGAAATCAACCCAATAGTTGAAGAAACAACACAGAAGGAAAGACAACTCTTTTTAAGAAATAGAAAAAACACAAAGCCTAGCCATCCACAGGTCATGGTTACAAAATTTAACCCTCGCATCAAAGGACTAAAAAAGCGGATTTTAAAGTACTGGAATATTTTGGAAGCAGACCCAATATGCAAAGATCTATTCAAATCGGAACCTATCATTGCGTATAGCAAGCATAAAAACATCGGAGATCTATTGATAAAATCAAGCTTACAATAAACATGGAATATCTTTATTGGGGCCCCTGATGAGGCATATCTGTCGCCGAAACACTCTACTACTACCATTATAACTATTATTTTAATCATAACAATATCATCCTAATTCATTCAATGTGGTTTAGAGTGTCGGGTCCCAATAACTCATTATCAAGTCTGGTTGATTGATGTCGTTTATGGAAAACTGGCCCAATGTAGAGAGTTGTTTCTGCAGATATTGGCCCAACGTTGCGCCAACATTGGCCCAATGAATGCGACATTGGGCCAATGTTGGCCCAACGTTATCAAGAACATCGGGCCGATGTTGACAAATGACGTTGGCCCAATGTCATTCTGCTCATTGGCCCAATGTTGGCCCGATATATTGGACCAACATTGTCCCAATGTGTATAAACATTTAATTGTTACAAACTTGTATATTAACAAATCCGATCGTCTCTAAAATCAGAAAAAAATCTACCTCCAATCCTACTTAATAAATACAAGTTGCCTAAAATAAATTTACAAGGCTTGTTAAACTTCTTACAATTTATCATAACAAATAAATCAGTAATTAAATTTATTGTTTTTATACAAGAAAAGTAAATGAAAGTATAAAATAACAAATGTGTTTTGATACAGTTAAAACAATAAATAATTTGCCCCTGATTTAGATTGAAATTTGTATCTAGTAATTTAAAAAGAAATTTAAAAAGTTTTCCACTCATTTAACCTTATATACACTTTTTGTTAACAGGTTTATAACCAATCACTGTCCTCCATTGTATTTTTGAACGTATTTTCTTCTTTCTTGTCCTGCTTGTTCTTATTTTTCCTTCATGGTCGTACTCAGTGAAATTCCATAGAAATTGATTCGGCATACGGGTAACAAGCGGTTAGTCCGAACTGCTCCTTTAAATAAAAAATAAAATCCATTTTATTAAGCAAATCTCAAAAAGCAGTACTTAATTAACACCACTGCATGTTTATAGTATTTTTAATTGATTCTGTGTATTCGAAACCATAACTATAGGATATTCGATTATTTGTAGATTTAACATGTTATTACTTTTTAAATCCTCATTATCTTTGAAAAAGCCGGATATCTTTTATGGCAGTAAATACTCTCCTCTTCATTCAAGTTTTTTATACTAATTAAATAAAATGAGAACTTTAATCACAAGAGATTTGATTTCCCTGAAACACGTGAAACACAAAGTAACAATTCCAAAATTTGTTTTCTTAATGGTAGAAATATAAGAGAAATTTATGAAACGAAAGTGACCCAGGCAAAAATTCAAAGATATTCAAAAATTAAATTTACAAATTAGATTTTGATTAAGGTAATAATAATTGACATAGGTCAATAATACATTTTATTTTATAAGTTTTATACAAAACGGATACAGTGATTAGCGACTGATCTAGTTACATATTTAATTTAAAACTAAAGCAAACTTAGAAAAAGATAAAGATCGCATGAAACAAACTTTGCATTTTGTGTTCTAAAATCTAAAATACATGTTATTTGAGAGGTAAATATAGTACTTACATTTCGATCCGTATGTGAAACGTCTGGACAAAGCTATAAAATTAATCCACATTAAAGAATACACATTCCAAAACTCTCTTTTTAACATAAAATCTTCAACGTTCTGCTGTAGGAAACATCCGAGATTAAAATGTTAGGCGTGCTAAAAGGATGCAGATTTGACCATCCTGTCCTATCAGATATCTCGATTACCATAGAAACTGGCCAGTCTCACGCTGTGAAAAACCCTGGCCTAATTGTTTGGTCAGAAAATGTTCTCTTTCTTAGAATATGCCACCTAAATGCAACACTTTAGAAAGTGTGTGGCTTGCTCGTCTTATATTTTGTAAAATGTACAAGTTAATTTAAATTTATGTTATATATTATTCTCAAAAACATTTACTTTATAGAACTACTAGTGTTTAAATTAACATTTACACATATTTTATTAAAGTTTCACATTAAATTAAAAATATAAAAGTTATATTACTTGATACATCGTCATGCATGTTTTAGGTAATCGTGCTTGGTATATATGTAACATTAAATGTACATAATTTACTATTTCTTTTTCTTTCACTTTTCCATCTTCTTGTCCGACTTTTTAACAAACAGTTCACATGTTTCCTGAATTCTGACTTCACTTAAAGTTGGTTCAACGTTGTCAATACAAAATATTGTATCGTAATAAAGTCGTGATTCACCAACATTGGCCTAACGTTGGGCCAATGATGTACTCCCAACAAAATCTGTCAGCTTAGTGGCGACAAGCTAACAACAATGGCCCAACGTTGTGTCACTGTTGTGTCCCCAACCAACCTCGGCCTCTGAGTAAAATATTGTAATGTTGACATTGACCCAACATTAGGCCAACGTTGTAAACCCAGCGTTGTAAACAGTGGTCCTACGTTGGGACATTGAAGTGTCCTCACCCCAGCTTCTAAGTAAAATAGTGTTATGTTGACATTGACCTAACATTGAGCCAACGTTGTATGCCCAACAAACTACAACAAAATAAGAACGTGATTCACCAATGTTGACCCAACGTTGGGCCAATATTGTACTCCCATCAAAATCTGTCAAATTAGTGGTGACAAGCCAACAACAGTGGCCCAACGTTGGGCCAACGTTGTGTCCCCAACCAACCTCGGCCTCCGAGTAAAATTGTAATGTTGACATTGGCCCGACATTGGGCCAACGTTGTGTCCCCAACCAATCTCGGCCTCTGAGTAAAATAGTGTAATGTTAACATTGGCCCAACAATGGGCCAACGTTGTAAACATAACGCCAACCATCGGCCAACGGTCCAACCATTAGCCAACGTTGGGCCAACGTAGTCATGCTATCTGGGTAGTGACTCTGTTTCACGATGGTGGTCAATGTGCGGTGTGACCCTCTGTTTGTGTCGACCGTCATTCCAAGACACTCATCACCCAAACACCTCAATAACATTCTTTCGATTAGTTCTCATCTTGAAAGGGATTCTGGCTTTGACATTATGCTCAGACCACCAGGAATCGACTGTACAGATTTTTCTTACACACCCAACATCCACGTGTCATTCCCTGTGTGAAGGATTGTCACATTGGTACATGACTCCAATAATGTCGTCATCATCAACTCGGGGATTATCGCCGAAGGAACCACATAATGAGACGAGATTAAATTTCAGGCCACTCGAGGAAGCTTCACCATTTACTGACTATGTTTAACAATGGTGGTCAATGTTTTGTGTGACCCTGTGTTAGTGTCGACCTTTTTTTGGAAATCTGTTTTCAAATAAACTGACATTTTACAAATGTTTTCTGTCATTTGTTGTCTTCCTGACCTCAGGATCTGCTTTCCATTGTCCTTGTTATACTGTTTAAGCAGAATTTTTGTCGAGGATTTAATTCTGGCATTTTTAGCGAGGATGCCGAGATCGAATAATTGAATATTGCTAAAAATTAACTGCGCTTTATTTGTAATAGCTTCTCTTGTGAGCTTTATAAATTCGCTAAAATAACATCTCGCAAAAAATAAAAAAACAATTTTAAGGACAAATCGCTAAATTTGCGTCTCGCTAAAATTTCCATTTATACGGTATTCCCTACACTTTTTAATAGCATATAAATATTGATACATATTTATTTGTATCAATAATCTCTGTCATATTATAGTCCTAATGTTTAAATTAATATCAAGCAGTGTTTTGATTTATTTCTGGTCAGACAATCAGCTTGCTCCAAGAGTTGCGGTTGTTTTATATATGGTTTGTGAGATGACAATCGCCATCTCTCACGCACTGAAGCTGAATACGCTGCATGCTCAAGACCCAAAGTTATGCCTTTAAATAGATTAATAAAGACACTATAGACGACATTATTTTCATGAAGAAGCATCCCTCAAAATTTTTTTTCTAAGAAAAACCTCTGTATTTTTCCTCGGCATTGGTAAACAGGATTTGCAAACGAAATTCTTGATTCATTGGATATCGAAACCCGTGCTACGATCTTCATTTAGAATAGTGTTAGATTATATAAGGATTATATGTAAACTATACAGCTGTATAACATCTCTTTTTCATCACAGGGACTTTACATGGAAATATAAGGATTATATGTAAACTATACAGCTGTATAACATCTCTTTTTCATCACAGGGACTTTACATGGAAACATAAGGACGACATCGCAGTTCATGTTGGAGGCTCTAGAAGAATTTGTCAAAAGAGGACCCATTCATCTAAACCAAGTCTACATCATAGTTCTGGATCAGCCCTTGTTGGTAGAGTTACATGATGCAATGCGTGATCGATACATTGGTAATGTAAATACATCGAAATTATTAGTAGTAACATAATTAAATATAGGGAGGGGGAACAGTATTCAAACTTAAAAGTCCATAAAACAATACAATATAGGAGCAGATCAATCACAGGCATGAAAACATCAGAGGCGGGATCAGGTGCCATGGGGGAGTTAGCATCCCCTGCCGACTAGTCACTCCCGCCGCGATGCAATGCATTATCGATACACGGTAATAGATACACATCGGAAAATTTCAGTTATATGATGCTATGCGTGATGCAATGCATGATATACTGGTGTTCTATACACGTCATAATATTTAATACTTGTTATTAAAAGATGCAGTGCGTGATCGATACATTGGTTACATGATACAATGTATGATATATTCGCAAATATTCTATGCACGACAGAATTGCATGCATTATTAGTTACAAGATGCAATGCATTGGCAATGCATTTGTATTCTATACACATTGGAATTATATGTGTTTGATACATTGGTTTTTCTTAACATATTATATTTTCCACTAGATGTACGTCCATTAAAACATCTACATAATAAACAATACAGTCTAAGTATTTATTAACTTGGTTTCCTAAGATTAAGAGGGATTTGGGACATTTTTATTGTATGTTTTACATTATAAGATACAACTTTACCTCTTTTTTACCTTTATTAATATAAAAAAAAATAGAGCAAGCGTTTTATTACATGTCAACAAGACGCACTTAATTATTTTGATTTTAATGTATATGCCTCAATATAGGAAAATGCAAGCAAATTTGCGAAAAGCGTCACTCGTTTTTATTTTTATAAAACTTTAATACATGAACATTGTAATGCCTAACAATAAAACATCCATTGCGTTTTGTTCTAGCGATTTAACGACTACAGGGTCATATATGTTAAATATTTATGCATAAAGTGCCATATTAAACATAAAATGGTTGTACTTTATAAATATTGCTATTAAGTAAGGATACGTAATGGATATATGCCGAATACTGTTCTATATGTAAAATTATCAGACTGTTTGTGGCCCGTTAGGGCCGAAAACTGTCTGATAATTTTACATATAGAATAGTATGAGGCATATATCTTACTTAAAACATTGCCATTTAAGGACATTGGCAACGTTTCTGGATTTTGTATAGAATTTTTCAAGAATTTTGGACCAGGTTTAATGGTACCAAACATGTTCAATTCAGGTCCTTTTTACCCATCAAGCCAGCCTTCCTTTAAAGATTTTGTCAAATCATTGTTTTTACAATTCTCAATGCATTTCCTATGTAAAATGTTGATAAAATGGTCCTATATTATTTTTAACCATACGTTTTTCTAAAACCCATTTATTTCATAAAGTTTATACATAAAATACATTGTTGAATCTTCATTTCCGATGACAAACATATACTTTGGCTGAAATTGCAAATATTGAAACAAAACACAGAAATACAAGCGCTGTTCTTTGATTTTGAGTTACTTCCCTTAACATCTAATTATTATTCATAATGATCAGAAGACTGCTTATTTGTTTCTATTCTATAAATTATTTATTTGAAAGGAACTGTCATTAAACATTTTGGCAAGGATTTATAGTAACTTTTAATGGTCCTTCCTTCACATAACCTATAGAATCACTCTAATTCAGTCTACCTAGCTATCACCACTTTTAGCATAATTATTTCACATCTTTGCACTTCCCAGCATACATGCACTTACTCTAAATGACGACTTGTTGACTGACTGTACCAATGTAAACAAATCTATCGCTGCTTTTCTTTTATTACTCTAAAGTTGAATATATCAGATAAAAAACACACACGTGGTTTTGTTTACCTCTCAGTCTGTAACGCACGCTTTATTGGTTTTCACCGCCTAGAGAATTCCATACGGGAGATCACTCTCAATGACTATTTTTATAAATGAAAAAACCTAAGTATAAACCTTTGTTCTCCGGAAACCCTGCGTTGCCAATGACCTTAAATGTCCAAAAATTACCTGTAGGAGTCCGATAATAACACAATGGGAGTTTAGGCATCAATTGTATTTTACCCGTCTAATAAGTGGACAAAAGAAAAGAGACAGATAAAGAGTGGGTGAACTGTTGTTTCATTTCATTCATTCAATGGCAGTCGTTTAGATAAGCAGGACAGGGGTCCGGTGGGGAAGGATTTCCTTTTTATTTTGGAACATTTTTATTTATTTTGTGCATAATTTTTTTTGGGGTGAAATTACCACCGTCACCATGGAAAGTAACATGCGAATTTTCATCCTGGAGTTTTAGTTTATAGAATGGAAATTCTCAGCTTTTACAAGTGCAGCCATTTGGAAACAATCCTTATAAAAGAAATGAATTTGCCGATTTTTTCTCAAAAATGGATTTAAATTCGATTATACAAAGTGCTGTATCAAAAACACTTAAAAGATGGGAATTATTAATTTTGAAGATGGTTTAAACTCGATTTTTTCATGGATTTTCTAGTTTGTAGCACTTAATTTCCTTGCGATTGCTTTCCCTAATTTTTTTCCTTTTTTGGAGGGGGGGGGGTGGTCGGGGGTTGGTGGAAATATTTAACTTATTCCACTCTTCTTTTTGTTTTTAAATACCGTCCGATTTTGTTATCATTGCCGTCTGATAATATATTATCAGACTGGTAATTATTATTATCGGACGGCTACAGGTAAATTTTTAGACTGCAAGAACAAAGGCATGACGTCACAGCAATGTTTTAATTTTATAGATAATATGATATTATGGCACTTTAATATATCATACATTATACATATTGCGGTAAAGTTAGTATATCTTGATAGATGACCTGAAGTTGTGGAC